CTCCTGGAAGCCAGTCAGCCGCGCCGCGGCGCCGGCCCTCCCCGGCGAAGCGTTCCAGGAGCGCGGGGGGACGGTCCAAGGCTGAATGTAGCCCTTCTTTTCTTGGCCAGACAGCGACTTGTGCTCTTCGGTTTCCCCTTGTGAGCTGCCTTTTGCGTTTCTTCCAGAAACTTGGCCCGTTTCGGCTGGAAGGCTCTTGTGCGCAGAGCTGTAACTGGCTACTTGCTAGCAGGAGCAGACAAGAAGTGTATTAAATACAGCATCCTTGAAACGATGAGCTGAATAACATCACGATGTAGGCCGTCTTCAGAAGGAAACCTCCTTCTTGCTGTCCCGTACAGTCAGGAGTTGAATTAAAAGCAGCAGGTCACGGGAACTGCACATGGTTAATGCTTAATGGTAATTATTCTGTGTGCTCAGGGTAGAAGAACGTCTCACAAGTCCATTATCTCTTTCCTTGTGCCTTAGCTGCAGAGTTACAGAGTCTGTCTTAAATCAGACAAATTGGTCAAATTTAATAGCACAAGGACCCTTTTAGTGCAGCTTTCCTGCCTGAACTCGGTGTGATTGTGTGAGAACCCTGTCTCTCTTCATTTGTAATAACCTTTTTATTGCTCTACCTGAAGTAATAGGAGAGGGAGAAGCACAATCATTTCTGCCAATGCTTTGCTTTTTCAGGTGGAATTACTTTTTCCTGTATGATGGTTCAAAGGTTAAGGAAGAAGGAGATCCTACAAGTGCTGGGATTTGTTATTTTTATCCTTCTCAGGTAATGTCTGCTTTTATTTCGGTGCCAATGAAGGAGCGCCTGTGTTGCGGGTCAGTGCTGATAATTGTGGTTCAGGAACAGTCGGGCTCCCAGGTGGAGCTTTGGATTAATTCTTATTTAGTATGTGGAAAAATTGTAAGAAAACGCATGTGACTGGAACCAGGCGGGGTGGAGCGGTGCCTCAGCAGGCTCGGTGCACGCGAGTCCCCAGGCTTCTGGGGCTGGGCATGGTGGTGTTGCACTCTGCTCCCGCACTGTGGATTCTGGCCAGCAGAGTCCTCCAGCAGAGTCCAAGTGTGTTCTTCTGAGGTGAATAAATACACATGAGCGATGACAGGGTCCCTAAAGAAGCTCTAGGCCCTTGTGCTACTGTATTTCATTTATAATTGAATTGAACTTATAATTCATTTTTAATTATACCTGAATAGAGTAGTGATTTTTTTCCCAAGTCCTTTTAAAAGGGGGAAAAAAAAAGAAAAAAAAAAAAAGTCTTTCTTCCCTGCCTTCCTCGACAGACTCTCCCCGACCAGCAGGAACTGCTGTGTGGACAGATTGCTGGAGTGGTGCACTGCATCACTGAGATTTCTGGAGTTCCTCCAAGTCTCATTCGTCTAAGGAAGCTCAAGTTTGCAGTTGTAGTGGATGGAGACTATCTGTGGGTGAGTTTGAGAGATCTGGAGGCAGTCACAGAGCTAAAACTGAGAGAGTCTGAACTACTCTATCAAACAAAGAGGGGTTTTTTTGGAGGGGGTATGGGCTGCACACAGATAGACCTGGGGAATGCCAGGGTGGGAACTTGCAATGCACAACTTTTCATTGCACAGTAACTTAAAATTTTGTGTACTGCAGCCTAGAAGTGTGTGTTGTGGCAGTCACTTCAGCTGTTCTGTAAAAAGCTTCACGTGTTTCATTTGTGTGTCCACACCCCACGCGTTCTCTTAAGATGTGCCGGGCAACGTCTGCACAGCATTGAGCTGCACATTGTTACATGTATCTGTGGGTTACGGGCAGTGACTGGAAATAGGACTCCGTGTGCTGCAGTTTATAATAAAGACTCAGTCTCCCTGTTTGGTAGTTTGACTGTTCTTTCCTTCCAACTCTCATACTCCCTACTGCAGAGCTTTGTCAGTGTCACCAGACATTCGGTATATAAAGAATAGTGTGTGGCAGAGTTGTGACAGAAAGGCCCCAAACCATCCCCTGGAAACTGGGCTAAGACTGGTCAGACCAATTTAATTGGCAGTGCTGTTCAGGCTCACTGCACTCTCTCTGAGGGAGACGGCCTGGCGCTTCTATTTCTCTCGGCAACTCAAAAACTAAATGAAGCATCTTCATTGCTGTAAATAACAAGTTAATTTCAATATTTTTAGGTACTTGTTTTCAGGAAAATGTTTGTGGCTACTAGAGCACCAAGCTAGGTCATCTAATGTGGGAAGGGAGTGTGTCTAAAAGGCTGGATTTCTGATGCCATTTATTTATCCTGTCTGTGTCAGGGCTCTTCTATGGGTATTTTTGAATTTTCTTTTCATCAGACTTGTGAATCCGGGGGAGGTTTGCCTGCCACAGAACTGCTTTGATACTCATTTGGAAGTGATAAGAGTTGTTCTCACCTGCTGTGCCTGGGTTTTGTCAGTAAACATTCTTCATTCATGGCTTTCTGTATTAAAGGTTCTGGGCTGTGCTGTTGAGCTCCCTGATGTCAGCTGTAGACGGTTTCTGGAGCAGCTAATCAGCCTCTTCACCTTCTACAACGGACCTGTGCACCGTGCGTACATGGTAATTAAGCATCAGCAGCTGTGATGTTTCTGCCTAGGAGGAGATCTAAAACACTTCCCATATTGGCCGAGCTCTGCCCAAGCACATATGTGCTGACATGTTCCTTTGACTTCCTGCTTGCAAGGCTCAGAGCAAGCTGATAGAGTCTATGATTCTAAGCTCACGTATCAGAGTCAGGGCCTGGGAAAGTGTACAGACCCATCCTCCTTGTTGCACTGAGGTAGTGTGGGTGTCTACTAGAATTTTCCTAGATGTTCAGTTTAAAGCAGTTTCCTCTAGATATCATCTTCCTCCTTATCTTCACAAGGTTTGCCACTTACAGGTACTATCCCATGTTGATTGTATCTAACCGTCCTGAATGCATTAAGGCCTGTGCAGTGACAGCCATGTGGACTTTTGTTGTCCACAGGCATTTTCTCAGGAGGAACTGAGCAGGCAGTGGGACAGATATATTGAACATATCCAAAAAAACACCAGTGACCTCCACAAGATTTTCAATTCTCTCTGGAATCTGGACAAAACCAAGGTAAAAGCCTGTCCTCTGCAGTGTCTACCTCTAGAGCTGCTCTAGTGCTGATGCTTTTGTGTTTATTTGCTGCTTTGAGCATTTTCCAGGATTCACTGGACAAACTTCTTGTGGTTCTCCTTGTCTAGGTGGACCCCCTGCTTTTACTGAAAGCAGCTCTCATCTTGCAAACTTGCCAGCGGTCTCCCCATGTCTTGGCAGGCTGCATTCTCTACAAAGGCTTGTAAGTAACCAGGCATTACCCAGAGGATTAACCTGCACGGTAAACCTGCCCCTTCCCAGGGCTGTGATCCCAGAGGGCATCCAGGAGCTCTACACACAGGGCTGCTGTTTGTTACTTGCAGGAACAGTAATGCTTCAGGCAAGGTAATCCCTGTCTTCTGGTGTATTTCAGAGAGGATAAATGGTTATTTGTGTTTATCAGTAAGAAAAACGGAAGCAGGGAGAAATTCAAGGTTTGGGTTTTAGTAGTAATCTGCTGTCTTTGATACTCAGCAGGATGTGAAGACTGAATTCTTAGGCTTTTTAGGTGGAAGTCACCAAGAAAAAGAAAGGTGTGTAAATATTCTTTCCCCTTAGCGTTCTCTTTGCAGTCTTGCCAATACACTGCACGTGTGTCTGTCTGTATGTATTTTTGACTGACTCGTTGGCCAGGACCACTGTCTATACTGGTAGAAAGCGCGCAGAAGAATGAGCCAGAATTTCCCATGAGAAATGCTGGCTTCTTTCAACCGGAGATTAATCGTAGCTGAAGATGCTGCAGATGTGGCACTGAACGACATCAAGGAAAGGCTCAAAGGTGGCCTTGAAAGACAGGAGGTGGGGGATTCTGAGAATTTCTGGTCAATAACATTCAAGCACCTTTCTCCTTTGGCATAGGCTGTTCCTGTAGCACCTTTTACGAGCACTGGAAATATGCCATAATGTGTGCATCTTTCCAGGCCTGCCAGAGGCAGGCCAGGCATTTTTAAGGGAATGATCTCATACTTGCAAGCAGGACACTGAGCGTGAGTCACTGCGGCGCCTTAAAGCTGGTGGCGTGTTGCAGTGGAAGTGGCCGTCTGACTTGAGAATGGAGCCTTGTCCTGCGTTTGCCCATCACCAGTGTGTGTGTGTCGTATCGCTGGTCTGCCTGGTAGAGATTTTTTTTTTTTACCAAATGTCATCAGTTTTGCTCAGAGTACAACTGACAGTCTAGTGTGGCACTGCTGTGGCTCTGCCTGTCCTGATGCTCTGAGTGATGGGAGTCTACGGCTGAGCTTCAGGAAATGACGCTCTGCTCATAGATGACTTTGTTTTGTCCTTTTAGGATTGTGAGCACCCAGCTGCCACCTCCTCTCACTGCCAAAGTTCTCCTCCAAGGCAATGAGTCTCCAGGCCTCCAGGTATGTTGCTGAACATGTTCCCTGCATGCAGATACCCACTTGTGAGGATGCAGTCTGGGAGCTCTTGTCACACAGATCTTATGTGTGCCGGTACTAGGAGGGACAAATATCGATGCTGATGCTAAAAGTTCTTTATTGGGTATGATTATGGTAAGGTTTCAAGACTTCTGCACTAGGAATTTGCTTTTTTTTGGTCTCTTAAGTTACTGAATTTGTGAGTTCTCACCTATGTGATGTTTTGATTAGCTTTTTACCTGAGTTTAGGTATTTAGTGTCTGAAGTGACCAACAGATCGATTTCCGTTGCCATTAAAACCTGTCAAAAGTAATTATTTACGTGGTTTAAGATCTTCTACAAGAAAGCCATCAAGATCCAGACATGAAGAAGGCCTCTGCTCTTATTCTTACTTGGTTCAGAGTGAACCGTTTTTGTGCCCTGAGCAGGCAGTAATGGCAAATTGTGGTATTTGTCCTTGCTTTCAGGTATATTTTGGGTCTTGGGGAGTCCCCTTATTTTTGAGGGCTACCTAAAGAACAAATCACTGCCCAGCATGGTAAACCAGTCGCAGCATTTGCTGAAGGGGATGGTTTGGGGTCTGCTGTAGTCACAGGGAGGCTGAGGAGGCTGGAAGAGATGTCCTGGTGGCACTTATGGCAAGTGTTGAGTCATGCCACAGAGCTGATTCTTGGCTTTTCTTTCAGAGTGAGCCTGGAGGTGAGGAGCAGCGGGAGCCTGGTGAGCATCCAGCTGCAGAGGACGGGTTGCCAAGTGCGCAGCGGCAGCATATGGGCAACCCTCTGGGCTTGCATTCTCTGCAGTGAGAGCATGAGCTGCTTCTCTGGGATTCACGTCAAAGCTCTTGCTGGATGCAGGAGTATATCCCTGAGGGTGTTGCTGCCACTAGTCAACGTGTGCTGGGGGGTGTTGTGTAATCAGAACTAGTTCCTTCCTTTGGCTAAGCAAAGGAGTTTGCTCTTTTGGTTTTAATTGTCAGTTCTGCAGATTCCCAACATGCCTGCTTTAATTCCAGTTACCCATGTGCCTACTTGGGCACTGACACAGCCCTGAAAACAGATGGTTGATGCTTTCTGTTCAAACCTTCAGTCATCATTTTTGAGTATCAGTTTATAGGTATTCTGCCAGGACGGTTAGGAAAAAAAAAAGCTAAGGGAAAATTTAACTCTGTCAGGCATTAAGTGTATGAGGGGGATGGGAAAATGCTGACTAGCCAGACACAGTCAGTTTGTGGTGACCCAGGATACAGGATGATGGCATGCCTTCTGCTCCTGCAGAAGCCTTTGGGCTGATGGACTCTGGCTTCTGTTCTTTATGGTGGGGCATGTTAACTTAATCCTCAAACCTCCATTGCTCTTGCAGATTCTCCATTGCCACAGGGTGTCTGTATCATCCCGGTATTCCTAACAGAAGATGAAGTGTCCGTGCTCCGAGACTTTCCAGTGGAGTGGATGACTAGGTAAGAAATCAGTCTGTCGCAGAGAGAGGCTTTTGCAGTGAGGGAGCTGACATGCAGCGCTGTGTCCTCACTAGCCTTTGTTGCTGCATTCTCTGATACTAACTCAAACTCTGTCATCTGGCTGTTAAAGCTGCCTGAGGTCTTTCACAGAATTTGTGGTGTCCATTTCTCTGTTGTGAAGCAGCCCAAGACCAACTGCGATCTTCTGTTGTTTCTCAGCTCACAGTGCTGCTTAAAGCCTTTGTACTTTGTGAATAAGGAGTGACATTCCCGGGAGCCTGCAGTGTAAGAGGCCTGTGCTTTTCACCTCTGTTAGACCTGAGCCCATCCTTTTCCGAGGTAGATGCTCTTTGTAGCAGAGAATAGATCAGCTATTGAACACTACCAGGAGGTGGTGGTGTTATTAGGTATGTAATAACTCCAAACAGATCCTAGTCAGTAATTTAATCAACTTGTTATCTCACGCTAGGTCATCTGTATCCCCAGCAAGCCCTAGAGGAGAGAAGAATGCTCTCTGCTCCCAGGCAGTTTCAGAATCAACAGGAGTTCATGAAAACCAAGACCTGAATAATATCTCTGTGCAAGAGTCCCCTGAGCAAGCTTCAAGCACAGCAGCACCAGAAGATGCTGTGCAATTGGGCAGCCTTGCAAACACCGATCCTTTGAATGGCTTCCTTGAAATGGAAGCCAGTACAAAGAATTCTTCAACTGCAAAACTGAGCAGACCAGACAGCAAAAGCTCAGAGCTCAGTAGAAAAGCATTCTTCCCCTTAGAGAGAGAGACAAAGCAGCTGCCAAGCCCTTCCACACTCCATACTGCTGAATATGCTCAAACTACAGGTCCGTATCTGGAAGGCTTTTCCTTTCCAAACCCTTATGCCCAGGAGCAGGAGAGTCAGAACATGGGGAAATCCCTTGTGGACTCTGATGTTGAGCAACGCCGTTTCCAAAGTTACCATGCAGCCAGTGGCAGTCCAGCTATTTGCTCTCCTGTCCAAGATTTGAGCAGAAGGAAATCAAGTGAACAAGACAAGCAAGGGACTATGAGCCACAATAGGGTCTCTGGAGAAAGCAGCGGTGCGGCTGGTGGCAATGTGTGGGGTTTGGATTGTCCAGCCACTGCTGTACAGTCAGAGCTCCAAAGCAGGAGTCAGCTGCCAGCTGCAGAGGTTCAGGAGGGTCTGCCCGGAGGCCCAGCAGAGAACACGCGCTGTCCCAGGAGTGGGGAGAGTGGCTGGGGGGCCCCCCCGGGACCGACGGGGGGGGGGGGGG